AAAATGTCTTAAATTGTTTAAAATTTAACATTCTTAGAAATAGTCATTAGCCTCATAATTGCTCCTCCTCCTTTTTATTCTTTTAAGGTAAATCTCTAAAGCAAGGGCATTGTCACTAAAGGAACTATTTAGCTTAAGATGAAAATCTTGGAGGAAAAAATGTAAATTTACTTACACATTTACAAATTAAAAAATGTAAAATTATTGTTTTTATTTAATTAAGCAGTTGGTTATGTGCATAGGGCTTGAGTATTTTTTGTTTCTTCTGAGGGAACAAATTTGGTTTCAGATCAAGAGTGAAATTGCTGATTCCTTGTACAGACACAATCTGCAGTTCCAGTGGATCTTAAAGGCATGAATCATAGCATCTTATTTTAAAATGCTGCAGTCAGGCGAGCCCGTGGCGCACTCAGGAGGGTGCGGCCCTGGGAGCGCGGTGGCGCTTCCACTGCTGGGTTCGGATCCTATATGGGGATGACCGGTGCACTCACAGCGTCACTGGCTGAGAGCGATGCGGCTGGTCTCAAAAAGGACAAAACAAACAAACAAAAAAATAAATAAATAAAATGCTGCAGTCTTCTGGTTCTTAGTAATGCTAAGGAAGTCAAGTATCTTTTCTACTGGTTAAAGGTGTCATTTTCAGAGAAAGGGGATTTACACTGGTGCTATATTTGTTCATAATATTGTGGGCAAATTTTCAGAAAAAAATTTAATCTTAATATGAAAAACATTGAGGGCAAATGAACAGAAACAGCATCTGCTGGTATGTGTAACCCTGAAAACAAATGCAAGTATTAACTTACTGAATTCATCCATCAGTGATTTCAAAGACTTCTGAGCTTTCTGAAAATTTCTGAGTTTTCAAAATATTGCATATAGTTTCCACTAATGAGAAATAAATCACTGCCTGCTCTCTCAGACATCAATAGCAGTTGCTGCCTACAGAGTTTGCAAAGTTTCGGAAGCTAAGTTTCAATCTCCTCGTCGTATGTCATAAATTCAGTAACCCAGTGTAATAATATAGTTAGAAAACACAACGTATAGCCATCATGTTAGCAGCTATATGACAGGAAGTTATAGTATGACATTAAGAAGTGACACATGAGGTTGATATCTCTATATCTGAAAATACAGTCCACATTTCAGTGCATGGCATAATTGGTGCTCTTCATTATAATACTTATGGTTTTATATGTTCTCTCTGTTGTGTCTGGGCCCTTGCATTAAATCTTCCTTCTTCCTGGTATGAGTCCTCTTTCTTATTCAGCTCCTTCATCTGACTAATCATCTGAGTCTTTAGGATGAAGCTTAAAAATAATCTCCTCAAGCATTACTCTGTTCACTTTGTCTTCAGTACATGTATGCAGTGGCTACACCAGTCCTCAGCACATGAGAGTTTTCAGTGCTTGCATGTTAAATAATCAAAGGCCTTTTCTTCTTATGTGTTCTCATAGCACTGTGGTCTTAATTGTGTCAAGCAGATTTTGTTCTGCATTCTGATCACTTGTATATCTGTTTTCTCAAGATAAGCTTTTTATGATAGGAATGAACTCTTATTCAACTCTTTGTCCCAGCTCCTGGCACGGTATGTGACGTATAATAGGTGCTCAATAAATACTTGTGAAATAAGTAATGGGTGAAGTTTTATGGGTCCATCACATTCAGAAATGCCCTGGCCATTCATGTTGAGCTGCCTGTCTTCTATGGGTCCCACATACCTCAGGTACTTCTTAAAAGAGGGCTCCGTGTATGAAGATTATGTTAGTTTCATTTGGGAAAAGGTGGGAATAAAGATCCTTCTGGTGGACGTAGGGTTCTCACGGAACTTTCTTTGAAAGAAACTAATACCTGAGGTCTTAGACATATAGTGTTTGTGAATAAATGTACCCCACATGGAAGTGCCAGTCTGCCTGTATTTTGTCTAAGGATTATTAAGAGATGAATAGAAAATACTTACTGACTAAAAGAAGAGAAGCACAGTATAGTGAAAAGTGGCAATGAATTGAGAAAAGTGTGAGTCTAATCCTACCTCTGTCTATAGAATATTCTATCTCATGAGAGTGTTTTCTTAACTGTAAAATAGCTAAAATAACCAGCAACAAGAGCTTTCATCTCTAACAGCCTTCATCCCATGTCATACGTTAACCAGTATATCATATCGGCCTCTTTTCTCCCCTCTCTCTGAGTTTATATTTCTAATCCACATTTAAAACGTTTTTATCTCAACCGCGAATATATTAATAGCTAAAATAACCAGCAACAAGAGCTTTCATCTCTAACAGCCTTCATCCCATGTCATACGTTAACCAGTATATCATATTGGCCTCTTTTCTCCCCTTTCTCTGAGTTTATATTTCTAATCCACATTTAAAACGTTTTTATCTCAACCGCGAATATATTAAGAATTCATTATAAGTGAAACCACATTTCAGGAAATACCTTTTCATGCTCTTTTTTTCTTTAAGGCATAGTTTCCATGTATTCTGCATTTTCCTTCCTTCACACGCCCCTGTAAGTCCCCCTTGTATCCCCTTTACCTTCTTTATTTTTCAAAGGAAATGGCATTTGGGTATTTTTGATTTGTTTCCAGGTGATTACCAAAATATTATACTGTTAGAATGACTTGAAATATAAAATGTCAAGGCTTTAAAATTAGGAAAAAGGATGACTGAAATGGACAGCTTTGTGCTTTGAAAGGGATTTTATTTCATTGGTGTCCCCAGTGGGGGGAGAAGGGAATGTCTGCATTTCAGCAATCCCCTGCCGGAAATGGGAAACCTGCCACAGACATAGAAATCAAGCCTCTCAACTGGGCTGTCTTGTCTAACCCTGAGGATCAGATCTGCTGATGTCTTGTTCTTTGCTTTGTCCACCCTGCCTTGTGCCACATTGGTAATCCTCTCTGCAAAGTGTTCATTTCCTCTATATTTGCCTCCTAGAGTCTTTCACTTCATGCTCCTCCTTCACTGGGGCCACCCATGTCAGTGATTTATGAGTGGCAGCTGCAGCCAAACTCAGGTCTGTGTGGCCTTTGAAACAAATGGTATTGTGTGGGTTTCTGCTTTTCCATGATGTAGATACTGAAAAGAGCTGGCACTGTGGGAAGTAGCAAGGCCATCGGGAAGCCTGCTTTATACACAAATATATCCAATCATCAAGAAAACCTCAGTCATCACCAAGTCTTAGCAGAAGACCACAAATGGCTAGACAAATTGAGAAAATCATTGCAGTCCAGCTCCAAGGAAATAAATCACCCTCTTCAATGGGCTCCCAGGAGCGGATCTCTAACATCTCACTGTCAGCCCTCAAATGTGCAGAGGCCAACCAGGCAGGCGCCACATGCTGGGTGCTCCAGAAATCACATCTGTAACTCCAAGTAGTTTGCCACCTTGTCCTCTTACCATTAGCAACCCAGGCAAAGGGGAAGGGATCATGAGCACACCAAGGACTAGTTTTGCCATGTAGAAGAGCCCGCAGCCCTCCTTCTAGACTAGCTGTACAAGTGAGGGGAGAAAGTGTAGCAAGTTCAACTCTAAGAAGCAGTTTATCTGACATAAGTTTCCAGACCTCTCTGTGCGCTTTGAGTTAAACTCCAAACAGTTTGGGGGATTTACATGGATTTGATTTTTCCAAATAGCTTCTGCTTTAGTTTAAGTAAATAGAGCTATCTTATCTCTTTCACTCTTTAATCCACTGAAAATTCCACATTTAAACGGCAGCACATTAATTTTTTGCTAGTGGAAATTATAATTTGAGTAGAAATAGTACCACCTCTGAGGTTTGACCTGTGATTTCTAAATTTTTTGGAATACCCACATTTTATTCCTAGCTTAATTTTTGTTTTGAGATGAGCATGTTTTCTCCTAACCTGTCTCCCAAGTGCTTCAGAGCATACATCACAATTTTTTTTAAGTGAATTTAATATTTTGTGTTTAAAAATTTTTCATTTTAGGGAGGTAGAAGGGCATCAGACTGGAATTCAGACCCAGGAAAGCTTTGTCTAGCTTCTTGACTTTAAGCACTTCATTCAACCCCTCCTGCATATCATTTTTCCCGCATATCAAACTGGTCTGAGGATGTCTTGCCCTCAAGTTGTGGTGATAAAACCATCCAATGAGATAATATATGTGAAAGTCCTTGGAAAGTTAAAAAATATTCTTTAGAAAGAATGTAAGCTTTATTCACACTTATTTAGTTATCTTTTAAACACATATTGTGTCCTAGAATTTATCGTTTCATACTATTTCAGAATTTATTTCCAAATGTCTTTGGCCATGGAGTATAAGAATATAACTTATCCAAACTAACAAGTTGTTTGACAATTCTGACTGCCAATGTTTAGATGAGTTTGAAATCTGATGTTTTAAATTTTACTGATTTAAATCTCAGTGATTACTAGTGCTCAAAGAAGTGCTGGTAAAAGGCACAAATAATGGAGAATTTGCTAATTATATATTAGTAAGGTGAGAAAGACTGGATATAAAGGTTAATAATCTGTCCTCTTTCCATAAAATGTTTTCAAGTTCATGTGTTAGATCTTCACACAAATTTATAGAATACAGAATTAGTGATTTTTTCTTAATCTAATTTTAAGAAGATATTTGCAAAATTAATAAGAGCAAATTTTATACAATTTATTTAGCATTATGTCCTAAAATTTAGTTAGCTATTCTAGCTGGTTATTGGTTTGCAAAAACTAAAATCCACTTAAAAAGGTGGTGTTGTTTTGAAAAAATTATTATCTCCTTCAAAGAGTGAAAAATTGCTAAACTGATAATCTCACAATCATCAATTGTGAAGTTGGAGGTTTGCTGCTGCTCTCAGATCTTACTACTCTCCATGTTTCTTTCATTCTTTCCTCTTCTCCTGACTTTTTCAACCTGTCTTCCTCTTTGCCTCTAGGGAGAAGCCTCCAGTGGAGGACACTCTTTGAAAACCTACACGGAAGAAGTGAGTTTGAAGGTGTCCTTATAACATAGTCTAAAACCAGTTGCCTCTAGGGAGAAGCCTCCAGTGGAGGACACTCATTGAAAACCTACACGGAAGAAGTGAGTTTGAAGGTGTCCTTATAACATAGTCTAAAACCAGTCTGTCATGGAGGATGAAATACTCAACGGGGCTTTCTCCATCTATCTGTAGGGTTTCTAGTCTATATATGTTCATTGGTCATGTCCACAAAAACAAAACAATGAATGTTATCAAAATAGTTGTTGTTCTTCATTGGTAGAGAGATAGTGTGTATCATCAATTCAGTCTTCCTGAACAAGAAGGTGAAACTGCATAAACCTAGTGCTAGCATATATTTTCATTCATAAAAATTTGTGGATATTCTAATAAATGAGAAACACATGTTTTATATTGAGCATGCTCACACAAAAAGGCATGGTCATTGCTCTTATTGAAAGATCAATCTATACTAGATCAGCATTCATTCATGTGAAAAATGCTCATTGAGGATGTTATTTGTATAGGCCATTACACAAAATGCTGCTCCAACAGTTAAAATATATGGTAGATATATCTTGAAGAACCCTTTTGGCTCCTGGATTTATTTTTGGAGATGTCCAAGAGTGTTCTGTGTCATGGAACTTTGGACTGACTGCAGACTATTTGGGAACTCCCAGATAAACCATAAAACTTTGTCTGAAGCCAAACCACAGTGGTCACTAAACTAGCCATCTAAATCTGTTGTAGCTGAAGGGAACTAGGAAAGAGTTTGGTGATGATATCCCAGCAGTACCAAATATTTGGTTTGAATATTACTTCTAAACATGACAGAATCTGTTTCTCTAAATATTCTTGCATGTATGAATCCATCCAAAAACCATTATGAGTGGCCTCCTGAATGTTCTGTGTAGTCCATGCAATTATTCTATGCAATTATTCAGAACAGTGTACCCATACTTAAACTCTTCCTTCCTTCCAAATATCACTTGGTGAGGAAAATCAGAGTGCACAATCCCCCTTTATGACTTTAACATCTCTGGTTTGCACACTTATTTGGAGGTGGATGAAGCTTTGCCAAAGGCACAGGGAGAAGAAACAAGATAAATCTTTTGAGTTCAGGTTAGAAAAGTTGAAATATACAGGACAAAAAAAAAAAGAAGGTTAGAACACCAACCCTAAATTTTAATTTAATGAATTTGATTCTGAGATTGAGTAGAATACTTAAAGCAATTAATGTGGCCAAAGAAGAGAAAGACACTATTTTCAAGGCATACCCCAATAGAAACTCCCTTTAGGATTTTGTGGTTGCCTGAGCTCTTGGCTTAGCATTCCCCACTTGGTGGTGGGATGGGATGTGGTGGGCTACCTTCACAAGAAGGGTGGCTAATACCTCTTGTAATGTGTCCTATCTAGGCCTAACACTGTGGAAGAAAGGGAGCACTTAGGTGCTGGTTTGGGAATGGGCTACATACCAATGATAGAACTTTTAGAATAAGTCATATTGTGAGTTTGTAGTTCTTGTCCAAGAAAAGGCCTTATTTTCTCCATAATTACCAATGTGCGATCGAAATGTCCATGTTTTACACAAGTGTAAATGCTTAATGTGGTGAGACAGTTCATAATTTGTGCTTTTTCAAGGAGGTTCTCAAAGGACATTGCTCCTCAGAGTGTCATCCTCAGACTACAACAATGGCATCACCTGGGGGTTTGCAAGAAATGCAAAAATCTTGTGACTTACCCCAGAACCAAAAAAATCAAAATGTGTCCTACCATGATCTGCATGTGATTCGTAAGCACCCTAAATGCTGAGAAAGCACTGCCCTAAAATGTCCTTTCTAATATTATTTCTAGAGAACAATTGCTTACATCATGGAAAATCCCCAATTTTGTGTAATATACTTAAAGGAAATCTTTATTAATAAATTTACGAGTTTTGTTTATTCCTTTCCTCTCAATAGAGGAAAGAGTAGGTTGGTTGTTGGTGGTATAAAAATCTCTCTGCTTTATGAGATTCATTACTGACTTACAGTTTGAATTTTGCAAGAACGTGTGAACTGCCCAATATAAACCTTGCCTTTCTTAGGGTTTCAGTATCACATAGTATTTTCACCTAATGTTGGTTGATATTTAGATTTAAACCAACAAATTATTATCCTTTAGAGTAAAACTGTAAGTGGGCTCTTAATTAGCAAATTATTAACTTACTAATAGTTGATTTCTTTTTGTAGGCATTAATCTATTGGATCCTTAGGAAATATATAATCAAACCCTTCTCTGTTGAGAACATGTTTAAAATGTGAGCCATAAAAATGATAGTCTCTTTTTTTTCCCCCACTTTGTCCTTTTTCTACATGTTACTGGAAACAGCAAACAAGAAAGAACTATATTTATAAATGTTAGAATCACTGAAGTTAGAACCAAGCTAGCAAACATTTGCTTTTATTTAGTACACACTAAAACTCAAATAAACCATAGTGTTTACATTTTTAATATATTTAACATTTCTTGCTAAAGTTTGAACAACTCTTTGCAGATCAAAGTCTCTGTTTTTTCTTTTTCATTTTGTCTTAGAATGAGACAGAATCATAACCACATGCGTGTTAGACAATTTTGTTTAGACCTAAATCAAAACTAAAGAGACAATATGGTTTCCTCTAAAACTAAAGTGAAAATGGAACTTATATTCTGTATTTTCTATTTTTTAATATATTATTTTTCCAGACTAGGATATGCATTCTTGACCGAATAAAAAAATGAGGTGTTTTATATACTCTACTTTTCTCAATCCTTGACATAGCTCTGATAGTTAAAATTTCAAAGAAATTACATACTTTTTACATGTAAGGCACTTGCTAACTCAAGGTGGGAGTCATAATTTCACACTGCAGAAATTGTAGCTTTTAGAATCATATTAATGTTCATTCAAAAATATACCCTCGTATAATTTAAAACAACTTATCAAATTGAAGTACTTCCAATCTTGATTGTCACACCTTTTGTAGAAAAGCTAATCCATTTAAAATATCGTATTACCCAGATAAATAATTAAGAAGCCCCATAGTACACTGATTAAAAATCCCCTAGTCATTAGTGAAATGTAGTAATTTAAATATATATGTATCAGATAAGTATTGTCAATTCAAATGGTTAAACATCTATAAAGAATTAAATACTGAAGTCAATGATTTTTTAAACTTTTAAAAAAGTAGTTTAGAGCAGTTCCTTACAACTTCAGGAAATTAGTTGGTAAAGGCCAGAGACAACGTGCACAGGAGTGTGAACTCACTCGAGGTGTCAGATGGGAGCTTCACAATGTCTAAGGGTGTCAGACAGGAAAAGAAACACTTGAAGCAGGGAGGCCTTTTTCAAATCTGTTGAAGTTGGTTTTGCCAGCTGTACCATCTGAGCTGGAAAGGGGATTGATTCTATTGCAACAAAAGATCTTGGAATCACTTTTCATGCCAATTTCAGCCTGTCTTTTTTTTCCTGTGTTGTGTTCTATGAACACTTGTGTAATAAAGTTCCAACTATACTTCTGATGGAAAGTGCATGACATTATCACGTAGAACAAATAAGCGATAATTTACTTTTTAATATCCACAAAAATTTACTTTTTAAAAATAGAAATAACTGTTAATTTACTATCTTAGTTTTATTCCACTTAGGAAAGAAAGATTTTTTTTCCAAGAAAATCGTATTATGTCATTGACATTCATTAAGAATACATACAAGTTGTTAAATAACAATTTTTAAAAAAGTTATAATCATGACTCTTACACAGATATAAAATGAACACATGTCAAAAATTATTTAAGTATTATGTCATTGACATTCATTAAGAATACATACAAGTTGTTAAATAACAATTTTTTAAAAAGTTATAATCATGACTCTTACACAGATATAAAATGAACACATGTCAAAAATTATTTAACTGAAAATTAATGAAAGAACAAGATGTTACGATTAGTTCAAAGGAGAAATCAAACCCTCACCTACATAGTCATGCAAGGAATGCTGAAATGACATTATAAATAGACACAAAGACTGGCAAAAACTGATCAATATTTATAGGATAATAATCAATTGCATTCCAAGGATGCAATTTGCACTTATATGAACAAGAATCATTTGCACTGTTATCATTTTCTACAAATTACATAGTTGTAAAATAGCTAATGTCAGTGAAAGACTCTGAGCTTACATAAAATCAGATGACTGGAAGGGGTGCTAGAAAAAATTACTTGTTTTTCATTGACTACACTGAGTAATCTTTCATTCTTTTCATATTATTTTTCAACTTTACTCTACAATTTTCTTGGAGAGAAAAACCACCAAATGGAAGGAGTTAGAAAATAAAATGGAGTGCAATCTCACCAAATAGGGTAGTATAGTACATTTGTCATTTAAATTTATTTAAATAGTTTACACTTATTTTGCAATGTCTTTCACAATGTACCATATTTTGCTAAGTTTGATATTATTTGCTCTCTTTTCTTTTTTTTTGTTGTCTTTTGTCTTTTTCCGTGTCCGGCAATGGATCGCAACCCTCAGTGTTGCCCCCGTACCGGACCGGGAACCAGCAACGGGATAGCAACCCTCGGTGTTGCCCCTGCGCCTCGCTCAGCTAGTGAGCGGGAACCGGTCTGTATGTGGGATCTGAACCCTCGGACGGGAGTGCCGCCGCGCTTTCCAAGCGGCGCACTTATCCAGTGCGCCACCGGGCTGGCCCTTCCTCTCTTTTCTTTTCCCAGATCCTATTAGTTCAAACTTAGAGCTTCTCAAACTTGGTTAATTCCTCTTACGTCTTAACTGCACTTTTACAATTCCCGGAAAAGTGGGCGACAGAAGTATCATTTACTGAAAAATTATGGATTTCATCCTCATAATAGGAGACATTTATTAACAAATACAGAAAGAAAGTTATTTACAAACTTTACTAGTTTAACTATGTAAATTATATACAGGGAGTTTTATTTTAATGAAGATACAGGATTGATTCTTTGTCAGGGAAGCAGTCTATTAAATGTATCTGAAGTGGAGAGTAATTTTGTGTTGCTTTATATACACCATGCTTCAGAGATCCTTATTTTATGGGGATCCTATGGTTAAAGAAGTAAAATGACAGTGATTAAGGCTTTTTGAAAGATAGAAACTAAAGTTTTGTGCATTATTTATTTACTTACACCAAAGGGAAAGAAGGGAAAGAAATTCTCAGTTGATTCAGAGTTAAAGTATCCAATGGTGAAAGTTTAAGCAAAGGAGGGTTTTTTTT